CTGATGAGCAGCACGAAGGCGAACAGCAAGAGGAACATCATTGCGCCAAACCGCCCGAGCAATCTGCCTCGCCAGAAGGAGCTGAGAGCCCAGGGCCTCGGAACCGCACCGAAGAAAACGATCCCGAAGCTCACGCGCAACTTCCTTAACTGCCCATTTGAAGAGCTCAATCTGCCTGGGAGGTGAGCGGGGCGTAAAATCTAGCTGCCGAGTAACAATATCCAGCAAATCCTGGAATGCCTCCGACTCGAAAATGCGCCTCGGGACCTTCCGATATTCCTGAGGCTTGGTGGAGCGCTGCGAGAAAGAACAAGACTGGGCTGCGTGGTCACTCACCTCCTTGAAGCCCCAGAACACGAGGAACAACGTGAATCTGGCATACGATCCAACCAGAAAGACTGACCCATCGCCTATCCAAGGCAGAAACCGAGTGAGCGCTCGCGTCATAGTGAGTCGGTTCGTCAGACGTGAACTCAGTGAGTGGTGCCAATACCTTAGACCACTTTGCTGCCTGAGCAGGCTGGCCTTTGCCTGGGCCCCCCACGGCGGCCAGGGCGATGGAGGCGAAGAGGAGGAGAAGCAGCGAAATTCAAGTCCCCGTGCACGACCACAGCGGCCGCCAAAGGAGAACTTCTGGCAAAACTGATATCAGCACCAAGTGGCTTGCCAATCTTCTGGAATTGGGCGCCATTGATGCCATGGTTGTGTACATTATAATGGAAAATGTGGCGCCCCTCGTGCTGCAGATGATGACGGAGCGCACGCCCTGGGACAAGTTCGCCAGGGTGAACCAACGCAGGGCAGGAGCCAGGCAATACTGTGGCGACCCCTACTTTCACTAGCGAATCCTCGCAATGGGAAGAGCATATCCGCACGTCACGATGAACTTTCCCAATAAAGCCTCGTAGCTGCACAACATCATGATGCAACTCCTGAAGACAAACCACCCCATTCAAAAAGTCTAGACGAAGGTAGTCCAACTTCACCTTGGAGTGAGCACCCTGGCATTGGAGAAGCGCCCGCGCGTTCCAAGAAGTAAAAGAAACCGTTCCGTGCCCTCGATACTCACCACGAAGTAGTCTCCCCAGTCCGCTAAAGACACCATTCAGCCGCCCCAGGCGGTGCGACGACGGCGGCAGCCGCTGCCGATAACTGCTGCTTCGGGAGACCAAGCTTGGTGATGAGGTTGTCGGCCCAGTTGAGCGTGGACGGCGCGTTGCCAGGGTTCGGGTTGATCTTGCGTATCGGGCCCCAGCCTGCCATGACATAGCCTCGGTCCTTGTCGACGAACCAGCGCTTTGATGGGGTCGATATCTTTGAAGGCGTCCCGAATTTTCCGAGCCTGCATCTCCAGGCCAATCTGACGCGGATTTTTGTCAGGGCCGATGTGAAGAGCAGTGGTCTGTCCATCTGCTGCGGTGGTCTCGAAGCGCTCCCATTGACCAGGCCCCAGGCGTTGAGCACCGAGGACTTCGGCAACCCGACGGGCAGCAGGGGCAGGTGCACCGACGAAGTTGATGGAGAAGCTGCGGCTGACGGCCTCAGAGGAAGAGATCTTGAAGAATTTGGGCTCGACACCGACCTCGGCGATCCAATCAGGGAGGGTCTGCTGGACCTGATCGAGGGCCGTGAGCTTGGCTGCAATGACTCTGATAACGCACGGGTCGGTGTCACGATCGCAGCCTGAGGCGGAGACCAGCGGAGCCTTTGGAACGTCGTTGGCGACGGCGAAGAGCTCGTGCGACTTCTTGATCTCGGCCTTGAGGAAGGAGATGTCAGAGTCGTGGGTGTCCAGTCTGGTCTCATGGGCACGCAGCCGAATGTGCATCCCGTCGATCTGCTCCTGAAGACGGCGATTCTGACCATCCAGGCGCTTAGCAGCAGCATCATCAACCATCTTGGGGAGGTCCTTGACCCCTTGGGCCAGCTCAGCAGCGGACTCGGCGTGCTTGGAGGGCTGCTCGGCGAAGGGGTTGATGGCCTCATCCACTGTGGGCTTGATGGAGTCCAGCATCGTCTGCGTGTAGTCGCGTAGCAGCTTGGTGGCCTCCTCTTTCGCCAGGTACCGAGTGTACTCGTTAGGTCCAGTTTCTTCCCAGCCCCAATCTTCATTTTCAGCATCACCGAGAGCGCCATGAGCAGGATCACCAGCAGCGGGTGCAGGGAGGCTTTCTGCAGAAGAAACAGCAGGAGCACCTGCGTCACCAAGAAGCTGAGCGATTGCGGTCCCAGGGGCGTCGCTGTTGTCGCCATCGGGCTGGTCGGGCTTCTTCGGGCCCTTCCTCTGCTTCTTCGGCTTCTTGACGCCGAGAGACGCCACAGGCATGCGGCGGCCCGCGCGCGCGGCGCCGCGATCACTGAGCCAGGAGGCAACGGATGGGTCCAAAGCTAATCGCAACACCTCGGTTCCCCGCACCTTCGTTACGTTTAGCCTTGAGCCGAAATGGTTACGGAGAAGGAGGAGGAGGAGGAGGAGGAGGAAGACGAGGAGGAGGAGGCGGAGGAGGAGGAGGAGGAACGGAGGGAGGAGGAAGGGGAGGGGGAGGAGGAGGAGGAGGAGGAGGAGGAGGAGGAGGAGGAGGAGGAGGAGGAGGAGGAGGAGGAGGTGGAGCGTGGCCTGGAGGCGCAACAAGTTCACCGCCAGTGCGCCTCAGAGCTTACCGCTGAACCCAAAATCGTACATGGGGCCCCAGCAGCGGAAGGCGAATCGCTACCCTGACATCTTCAGCGAGCCGTGGCACGTCCTGAGCAGCCAGCCCGGTGCAGCGACGGGCGGAAAATACCCGAAAGGCATAAAAGTAACATACAATGAACGCAAAATTGAAATCATCCCGACCAGTATCACGAAACAATCCAAGCTTGACCCTGGGATCCCGGGGGACCTCGCGAGAGAGAACAACCGAGACAAGGGTCGAAAGCTTCGGGCACTCCAGGACATAGTGCGAAATTGAATCACTAGTCGAACCGCAGCCGAAAATGCAGCCCGAGTGCGGCCGCCTCATTCGGTGGGCAGTGGTCCACGCGCCGAGCCAAGATTTCGAAGTGGCGGAACGCCACGCGAACGGAAGCTGTCGCACGGCCGTTCTCATCTCCCCCCAGTCCACCAGCCCCACTCCGCCCCTCGGGAGAAACCATTTGGTGATCCTGCGATCCAGCGTGGCCCCGATCACGCGGCGAAAAAGAGCCTGTTGAAATATCGCCTGAAACTGTGATTGCCAACGGGACCTGCTTGCCGTATAGTGTCCGATGCCGCTGTTGGTCGTGCCAGCCTGGAACAGAGAGAGAGGCACTGACGACCTGGTTCTGACAGGCTGGCCGACGATGGAAAACCCTGGGCGGCAGATTCGAGGCGGAGGGCGATAGAGGGCGACCAGTACCTGAAGCGTTTCGCTCGCTCTGATGACTTTTCTGACCTCCCTCCCCCCTCCCGATCCACAATCAAACAGATTTTAAGGCGCGCCTTGGACTCCGCCCCTGGCCCCGACGGCCTACCGTACAAATGTTGGAGCATCGGAGCAGGCCCGTATATAGTTAGCGACATCTTTTGGTGGATTTCTCGCGGAGCCCCCATGGATTTAAGTTTTTATTCATCCCTTTCGGCATTCCTCTCGAAAGGTTGCAATCCTGACGAGCTGGGGGCATCGGCCCTCGTGCGAGCTGCCCAGGATACTCGTCCGCTCGGCTTGAAAAACACCTCGAACAAGGCTGTCGCATCGGCGATCAACCGCTGCATTGTCGGCGCGGTGACAAAGATCACCCCCTCGATGCAGAATGGATTTGTGCGGGGGCGGTCCTTCGTTGACAATATCGTTGCGTTAGACTCGCTCGCTCGGATCGGCAGCATTCGAAAGGACCCCCCGCCAGGAACCCTCTCTCGAGATTGGTTCCCAATGTTGGTGTCTTTTGATGTCTCTCAGGCTTTCCCCAGCGTTCGGCAGGATTGGCTCCTCCGCGCGACTCGGGCAGTTCAGCTGCCTAGGGGGTGCCAGGCAGCAATCGCAGAGTTTTACGTCCTCAACTTGTGTTGGTTCTGCGACGGCGGCCCGCTGCTTCCGCCCTTCTGCATGACGGCAGGGGTGCTACAGGGCTGCCCCCTGAGTGGCTCATTATTTCTGATCGCTTCAAACCCTTTCCTCTGGGATATGGAGCTGAAGGTTGTGAGCCGTCACCTGGGATTTCCTAGGGTGTGTGCCGATGATGTCGGAGCCGTACTTTTCCACTTCGTTGGTTTTGTACAGATGGCTCGTATATTCAAGCTCGCGAGCGTGTTCGCTCGCCTGACTTTGAAAAATTGAAAATGCCAGGTCGTCCCTCTGATAGGTGAGTTTTGCGACTCTCTGGTCTTGGCCGCTCGGGAGTTCCTTTCCAGGGTCGATTCGGGTTGGGCGGGGTTCCGGATCCAGGGGAGTCTCACTTATCTCGGAGTGGAGCTCGGCCCATCTGCGTCGGTGGAACTCCAATGGGAAGCTCCCTGGTGTAAACTACGCGCACGCGTCCTCTCCGCCAGCCGCTCCACCGCAGATGGCGCTACGAACCTGTTCTACTACCACACCAGGTGCCTCCCGGTGCTGTCGTACAAGGCCCAGATTTTCCCGATAGGCAGAAGCATGGCCATCCAAGAGCGTCACTTGTTCGCCTCCCTCTGGAGGTCCCCAAGTTCGATTTTGTCTTGGGAGGGGTGGTTCGGACTTGGAGAGTTCGGAGGCCCTGCTTTCCAGTCTATGTGGGCATACGGCGCCGCCACCAGGATGCGCGCCGCCCTTGTGTCGCTCCAGTCGTGGCCCGTAGAGCTCCGACGATTGCGCCGCGTCGTTTGGCAATTTGGAGCCCCCGCATGGCTTTCCACTCCCTTGCTCGCTCCTCCTTTCAGGAGGAGGAGGAGGCGGCGGAGGAGGAGGAACGGAGGAACGGAGGGAGGAGGAAGGGGAGAAAAAGGATGATGAGAAGGAGGGGGCGACCCTCGCCGCCCTTCGCAGCGTGCCCAGCCCCGGCGCCCGCTCCTGGTTCTGATCGCGCTCCTTGTTCCACCTCCGCCCGTTCCATCGGTCGTCCTCCTTCGCGGGGGATGGCGACGACGATGGCGACGAGGAAGACGAAGCCGAGGGCGAAGACGATGACGACGACAACAGCGAATGCGGCGGGGCGACGGGATCGCCCCACTGCGGTCGCCTCTTGCCCCCACACCCCGCCCCAAGCGACTGCCTGCAAGGCGGAGTGGAAGAGGACGCAGGGGAAAGCGGAGGAGAAGAAGGTTGCGACTGGAGGAGGGGGAGGTGGAGGAGGAGAAGGAGAAGGAGGAGCGCACGTAGCTTGAATCCACGGTGATCCAGCTACTGCCAGTGCTCTAACGTCTCATTGCGGCGAGAGCCGCGGCTCGTGTTTCGTAGTGGTATGCAGGCGAGGGGACACGGGTGCCGCGCGCCATGACAGCTTTCAGCTTCTCGTAGAAATGGAAACTCAACACGACAATGTAATGACAACGATGTCGTTGGTATTCAGACTCCACGTCCAGCGAGGGGCCGAGGCCAAGGCGAGTGAGGGGGCAGGCAGGAAAATGGCCACGAGGGAGAGCGACGAGGTGGAGCAGGCGAGGGCATGAGAGATAATGGAAAATGGAGTCGGTGTCTGTACATCCGAAAAGACACCGACGAGACTAGGCACAGGGGATACGAGCTGACGTCGTCCAGCCGCAAGCAAGTGTCTTGAGGTGGGCCCAGGCACAGGACGGGGGAGTGTGTTCCAAAATCTGGCGAAGCGCAGGGTGGCAGAGGCAAGCCAATTACCTAGGCTGAGGAGCTCAGCGAGGCCAAAGGAATTGGGAGGAGGCGAAGGAGGCGGAGGACGTGACGTTCCACACGGAGAGGAGGGAGGCGGGGGGAGGGAAGCGCTGGCATAGGCAGCTCAACACAGTGATGGCGCAACAATTATCAGTGCGGCAGCCGGCTTCCGCGGGGGATCGCGACAGGGCAATCTCCCGAACTCGCTCGCGCCACTTCCGTGCGGGTGCCGCCCACCGGGCGTCGAGCTCCGCCGCCGGGCCGAGTTGCACGCCAAGAAACTCCGCAGATCCAGCGACCTGGAGATCAGCCCATGCTGGGATGAGGGCTGGGATCTGCTGGCGACCTTGCTGCACTGCGGCGTCCGAGCGCCGCTCGGCCGAGGGAACGGTGGCGCCCTTCGCCGGCCGCAGCGAGAGAGGTTGGCACAGGTGCGGGCGGCGACGAAGGGAGGGGAAAGTAGAGGAAGGAGGCCAACCGAAGGGAGCGTCGCACCCACATCGTCCGCCGTCGCACCACACTCCGGCTCAAGCTGTGGAGCCCACCGGCATGGCCTAGGGCACATCACGCAAGCCTGCTGAAGCCCCAACTAGTCCGCAAAGTGCCTCAGGAACGGGTCCATAATCAGAGCCCACAAAAACCCCGAGAGGGGCATCCCTGGGCAACTCCGGAGGTCACCAGGAAGAGGGGGAGTCTCGCGGAGCCGCAGCGGGAATGGGCGAGAGCCCCTGAGTAAAGAGCGGCTATCAGATTCGTGTAGCCCGTCGGCATGCGATGCTTAGCGAGGATCAGGAAGAGGAAGACTTGCGTGAGCGAGGGAAAAAGCAGGAGGAGGCGACTAGAAATGAATATGTCAGAAGGGAAAGGATGTTTTCTGTAAGCGGATGAATAGGCCGATGTTTAAGGCGGGCACGGAAGTTTGGCCAACTCCCGTGCCCCAGGGCAAAAACGGCGACTGGCAAAGGGATATCATCACCGGGCAAAAAAGGCAGGAAGGTTGACAGACCTACCGTTCGAATCTGGTGCTCAAGCGAGTCCGTCGTGCCTTCGGAAGGACAAAGCTAAAGGAAGGCTCTGCGAACCGCCCCATCAGCGCAACACGGAGGTTCTACGATTCGCCCCATTCATAAAGAATTGCCTGGCCGCGAAAAAACGCATTCACCTGGTTCTGCCATGTGTCGGAGTTGCCAACTTACGCTTCAACTCAAGGGGCACAGTTTGCATGCGCCCCAGCCACTCATGTCGGTACACCCCTCACACGGTCCGTGGCCCCATAGGGAACCCCACCGAAGGTCCCAGTGGCAGTTTACATGCGTCCCCGCCACCCATTTTGGCACACCCCTCACACAATTCGTGGACCCATAGGGAGGGTACAGTTTACATGCGAGCCCGCCACTCATTACGACAAATCCCTCACGCGGTTCGTGGCCCCATGTGGAGCTCCCCCGAAGGCCCCACTGGCACAGTTTACGTGGCAAACATGTCGGCACACACCCCACATGTTTCGTGGCCCCATAGGGAACTCCACCGAAGGCCCTGCGGGTCGTGTCCCGCGCGCGCCCACTGGGACATGCTCGCAATTCTACACGCGCGCCCTCTGGGACGTGCTTTCGGCACGCACCCACTGGAACACGCGTGCACGTGCGCGCACCCTTTGGGACGTTCCTCGCACGCACCCGCTGGGACACGCACGTATTTCTACACGCGCACCCTCTGGGACGCGCATTCGGCACGCACCCGTTGCTTGTTTCCCTGCCATCCTGCGGTGTTGGGTCCCCGTTTTGAAGAGACAGCAGCCCGCGTTCCTTCCGTCCCCTCTCCGACCATCACCATCATTACATTGCCGTCATCACGTGCGCCCTTAAACACGCAACGTGACCCCATAAGAAGCTCCACCGAACGTTCCAATGGTCACGTCCCCATGCGTCCCCGCCACCCATTTTGGCACACCCCTCGCAGGGTTCGTGGCCCCACGGGGAACTCCACCTGAGGCTTCAGTGGCGACGTTCCCATGCGTCCCCGCCATTCATGTTGGCACACCCCGCACACGGTTGGTGGCTTCACATCTATTTTAAAAAAGCCCCAGTGGCGACGTCCCCATGGGTCCCCGCCACCAACTTTAGCACGCCCCTCACGCCCATCGCAACACGATAAGGAACTCCATCTAAGGCCCCAGTAGCGACGTTCCCATGCGTCCCCGCCACCAAATTTGGTACATCTCCCACACGGTTCGCGGCCCTACAGGACGCCCCACCTGAGGCTCCAGCGGCGACGTTCACATGCGCCCCCGCCGCCCATTTCGGCACACCCCCCACGCGGATCGTGGCCCCATAGGAAGCTCCACCTAAGGCCCCAGTGGCGACGTTTCCATGCGCCCCCGCCGTATATTTTGGCAAACCACTTTGCGCGGTTCGTGGCCGCGCAGGGAACTCCACGCAAGACTCCAGCAGCGACGTTCACATGCGCCCCCGCCACCCATTTTGGCCGACCCCTCACGCGGTTCGCGGCCCCTTAAGGAGCTCCACGCAAGGCCTCAATGGCCGCGCCCCCACGCGCCCCCGCCGCCCATCTCAGCAGACACCTCGCGCGGTTCGTGGCCCCATGAGGAGCTCCACCTAAGGCCTCAACGGCGACGTCCCCATGCGCACCCGCCGCGTAATTCAGCGCGCCCCTTTGCGCGCGTCACGACACCATGAGGAACTCCACCTAAGGCTCCATCTGGGGTCGGCGTCGCCATCGGAGGGCCATGGCGGGGCCGCGCCTAAGGCAAGCGCGAGTCGCTCGGGCCCCGCGCGGCGGCCGTCGACCCCGCGGCGGACCATCGGGGGGCCGCCCGCCGCGATGGCCAGGGCAGCCGGCGGGCGTGGTGCCGCGGCTGCGCCGCGGCCGAGCTGGCCTGCCCAGCCTTCGAATCGCCGCCGCGGCCTGCTCTCGCGACATGTCCTCGAGGCCCAGCGCGTCGGAACAGCCCCGAGGCTGGGCCGGCGTCGGGCGGCCGGCCAGCAGCGCGCGCCCCGCCCAGCCGAGCCCGCGAAGGGGCCCGCGCTGAACGCCGGGGCCAAGGCAGAGTAGCGGAGCACCATCTCCAGCCAGCTGGGCCCGCCACCAACAGGCGGGCCGCCGCCGGCGCCGCTGCTCAGCGCAGGCTCGCGGGCAGCCCAGGCAGTCGGCCCGCGCCCCCCCCGGGGTCGCGGCGGCGCTGGTCGAACGGAGCGACTCTCCAGAGAGTGGAGGAGGAAAGCCTGCATCGGCTTTGAACTTTGAACCCCCCAGCGGCGACGGTCGAGTCGCCGCGCGGCCACCTCGCGTTTCGACTGGCAAACTGTCGTAAAAACGTGCGTGTATACAGATACGCGCGTGCGTGACAAAAACCGAAGACGCGCCGAAATCAAAAGGAGCGCGCAGCAGCAAAAAAAAACACCCGAACTCCAAGGAGGAGCCAAATCAAAAGAAAAACGGAACCAAAATGGGCTCCGACAACCAACGGGAACCGACAACCAAATGGACGCCGAAACCGAAAGAACCGCCAAAACTCAAAAAGGCCACGACAACCAGAAGGGCGCCGAAAACCAAACGGACGCCAAACGCCAAACAAGCGCCAAAAGCAAAGGAATAACGAAACCCAGCCGTCGCCAAAAAAAAACAAACGCCGAACACCAAAGAGCCGACGAACGCCAAGATGGGCGCCAGAAGCCCACGTTTATCACCAGCTGCACGGGGCCACCCGAGCCAGTAGCAGAGGGGCCCGACGGACAGGCAACAGCCTAAGGATAAAAAGTCAGAGCGCCAAATCACGACATAACGCACGCAAGCGATGATCTCTTCTTTCCAGCAAAGGGCGGCAGTGCGGGTCGTCAGACGCAGAATTTCTTCAGAAACTGCTGTGCACGGGGCCCCTCGAAGGCCCCGGAAAAGAAAAGTCCGCGGTGCCTGGCCTGCGCGGCCCCCGCCGCGCGGGGCCCGCTCAAAAAGCGCGCGCGCAGAAGCTGCCCCCCCGCCGGGGGGGGGGGGGGGGGGCGGGGCCGAAGTTTCACGCGCGCAAGGGGGCGAACGAGCGAAGGAGGGAGAGAAAGGGGGCGGCCGAGGCAGGGGGGTACTAAGCTAAATAAAAATGCGTTTTGAAATCATGCATGCATCACCAGCTGGACGGGGCCAACGGAGCCAGCGGCACAGGGGGTCCGACGGACAGGCAACAGCCTAGGGATAAAAAGTCAGAGCACCAAATCACGACATAACGCACGCAGACGATGATCTCTTCTTTCCAGCAAATGGCGGCAGTGCGGGTCGCCAGACCAAGATTTACTTCAGAAGCTGCTGTGCACGGGGCTCCTCGAAGGCCACCGAGAAGACAAGTCCGCGGTGCCTGACCTGCGCGGCCCCCGCCACGCGGGGCCCACTCAAAAAGCGCGCACACAGAAGCTGATCCCATAGAGGCCCATA